ATCTCTGTGTCTATAACAACAATCACAAAGACGAGTTAATACGATTTTAGCTTGCGTGCTGTTTATGGACGTAGGCAATTGGCAGTGGGACTACCACGCCTGAATACAACTTCCCAGTAGATAGTTTATCTCTAGTCCAAGTCTCAAGGTCTCATCTCCCGAATTTATTTAACTGATTGTATACTTCGTAGGAATTAGAAAATGTCAAAATGTATTTTCTCTTATCTGCTGACCGGCAGCACCCTAGTTACTCCCGCGCTCATCACCCAAACGGGCCTCACCTGTATCTACACGAACGCACAGGGCCTCATGTCCAAACTTCCGGAGCTCCAACTCCGACTTCTATCAACACCAGCGGACCTAATAGCCATAACGGAAACGTGGCTCTCCGGCGACATAACCGACGGTGAAATCCAGCTTCCTCACATGTCAGTTCTCCGCTCTGACCGCGCAACCCCAGGTGGCGGTGTCGCACTGTACTATGACATCTCCCTCAGCTGCAGCATGTTAACAAACACCTCCCTCCAGTCTCCAGACACTATGTGGTGCGAGGTCGTACTAACCACCAAACACTCCAGCTGTCTTGGTATCATTTACCGCCCCCCAAACAACTCTCCCGAGAAGGATGCACGACTACTGCACGACGTCCACCTTATGTTATCCCACAAGCGCACACACTTTCTTATTATGGGTGATTTCAATCTGCCCCGTCTATTTCACTCTGTCCCGTCTACTAACTCCTTTGCATCAGGCCTCATTGATCTTCTTCACACGGCCCCGTTGTACAACCACACGTATCAGCCGACCAGATTCCGATCCAACAACCAACCGTCCCTGCTAGATCTCGTCCTCACTAACGAAGAACTAATGGTTGAGCACGTTGAGTATGATGCCCCTTTGGGGCTTAGCGACCACTGCGTCCTCCGTTTCGATTTTATATGCTTCGCCGAAAAAACTCGTCAGCACGCCAACTTATACCAAACGCTGGACTGATTACGGAAAGTTGAACCTTCTCATTTCCGCTAACAACTGGTCACCCAACCCCCAATCGAGCGCCGACAGCGTGTGGTCAAGCTTTTGCCTTACTCTACGTGAACTCTGCTCCACTACGACGACGTGCAAAGAAGTTTCCATAGGAAAGAGACGCCCAGCACTCATCCGAAGTCGTACACGGAAATGGATTGCCTCCAGGAACACGGCATGGAGAAACTATCGCTCCCATCCAACGGCCACTCAGTGGGAATATTACCGATCCATCCGTAACCAATGCGTCCATCTTGTACGAGAAGATAAGAGTGAGCACCAGCGTCAACTTTTGCGTAAATTTTCATCCAATCCCAAAGCCTTGTATAGACACGTCAATAGTCTTCGACAAGTCAAACACGGTGTCACCGCATTGACGACCCCCACAGGGCTCACGAAATCAGCTACCGAGGCAGCGGACGTTCTGTGCAAGCAGTACGCATCCACATTCTCCGTTCCATCACTGCACACAACGACGGTACCTTCTTCGGTTTCACTCTCAACTTCCCTGACGACTGTTCATTTCACTCCGGAGAAGGTCCTGGCGAAATTCAAGTCCCTGCGGCTAACGGCCTCTCCTGGCGCTGATGGTTTCCACCCACGGCTCTTGCGAGCGTGCGCTGCAGCTCTAGCTTTACCCCTAGCGGAGCTGTTCACCCACTTCTTCTTGCAAAGCAAAGTTCCCAATGATTGGAAATGTGGGACTATTACACCAATCTACAAAGGCGGTACTCGCAAAGATCCGGCCAATTACCGACCGATAACTCTCCTATCTACGATCTCCAAAGTGATGGAATCGATCGTCGCAGACGCTTTAACGGATCACATGGAGACCCAGAAACTGCTCTCTGATTGCCAGCACGGTTTCCGGCTTCAGCGGTCTTGCCTGAGTAACCTGCTACTTGCCAGGGACAGCTGGACCACTGCAGCCGACTCTGGCCAAGAAACGCATGTTATCTTTCTGGATTTCGCCAAAGCCTTCGACAAGGTCGACCACAAGATTCTGCTGCGGAAACTGTCATCTTACGGCGTTTCAGGGGACTTGATGGACTGGATCCGGAACTACCTCCAAAACCGTACCTTCCAAGTACGCGTCGACGGAGCGTTGTCTCCCCGCATCCTTGCCACAAGCGGAGTTCCACAGGGGTCTGTTCTCGGACCGCACCTCTTTCTAGCCTTCATTGACGACGTCACACCGCAAGTGGAGTCCTCGCTGCTACTATACGCGGATGACGCCAAGCTGTGGCGCACAATTAACCTTCCGGACGATGCCCACGCACTTCAGATGGACCTCGACCGTCTAAATCAGTGGTCCATAGAAAATAACCTTCCATTTAACGCTTCGAAATGTCGCGTCCTTTCTACCCGCCCTTCCGCTTTTTCTCCTGTATATTACCTGGGAGCGTCTATCCTCCAGATCTCTTCAGCCGAAAGAGACTTGGGTATCATTACCCAGACGAGTCTTTCCGTATCCGCTTCCTGCCGGAAAGCAGCTGCTGCTGCTAACCGCATGGTGGGATTGCTGAAACGAGCCTTCGGTCAAATTGACCCCAGCAATTTCCGCCTCCTCCTTAACGCTTTTCTCCGACCCCACTTGGAGTTCGCTATTCAGGCTTGGAGTCCTTGGTTGTTGAAGGACCAACGCATACTCGAAGCCCCACAACGTCGAGCAACCAAACTGGTCCGAGGTCTCAAGCACCTAGATTATCCACAACGACTTCAGTGCCTGGGCCTCTACTCGCTTAAGTACCGACGTCTACGGGGCGACCTGATCCTCGTATTCATGATCTTATCCAACCCTGGACATCCCTGTCGCCACCTACTCACACTGCACCAATCGGGCTCCCACCTACGTGGCCACCCACTGAGGCTCACACATCAGCACAGTCGGCTGAACTGCAGACGACACTACTTCTCTTTGCGAATCTGCCGACCGTGGAATGCTCTGCCGGCCGATTTAGTCTTGGCACCCACTGTGGCGGACTTCAAGGCCCGCTTGGACTGTCATCTGGTCGAGCTACACCGCGATATTCCCTAATTTAACTACATCCTACTGGATGGAATTTCTTTCTTCTTTTTTTTTCTTCCACCTTCCTTTCCAAAGCCGTTTCGGAGGGCGTGGTGGGATGTCTCGCTTTGAGCCGGCGTGCCTTCTGTTTAAATGCCACATAAGCCCGATGAAGATACGGCTAACACGCGAGTCCAACCCGCTATAAGGTTGCTTGGCCTTTCATTAAACCCGACCCGTACTCTTTTTACCCTATGGGTCATGTAAAGCTCCAGCTTTTATTCCCATTAAATACAATGTTCCAATGATCCTGTCGTACAGAAGGATCATACCAACCAGCTTGTTTGCATCTCCTAATGTCGAGAAATGGAATATTTATTTCTTCTTCTGTTACTCGGCCACGCATATTTTGAGACGTTTACGTCTACTTGAAGTTCGACAACAACACGCAAACTGAGTGTTTGTTTACACTCCTTGGACCCCTGTTATATGCATGTCAACTGGCCATCCGTATATCAATTCTTCCATGATAACAAATAATCTTATACGGAAGCACCAACCGTGGTTCTCATAATATTTCACCCTCCAAAGTTTACACACATTTAATTTCTAATTAATCTACATATAGCGTTTTCCTCTTTTTTATTGGTGCTTTCTCCCACATAAGCATATACATTAAACAGAACCTCATTAATCAGTAACGTACTAGGTATATTGCCTTGAGCCTCCCTAAGCTATTTTGTAGCTACCATCTCTGCTACAGAATTCCTGATTAATAGTAAGCTTACTGACGATCTGTGAGAACCTCACCTTTTCTCACTTATCGTATATTGTGCATCATTGTATACATGGGCCACATTTTCATGACTAAAACACTATGGTATTAATAAAATGGACATCACTGCAAGTTTATTTTTTAGTTGCCTATCGGTTAGCCTGTATAAAGTTTTACCTATCTGACTTGTCCCTCCCTCGTGACTCTAGTGCAACTAATGCGGAAAATGTATGGATACGCTTGGCTGATTCTCGTTTTGCTTTCACAGAAATAGTGCTGGCGCACCGATCCTTCTACAGAAAGAAACACCAATACTCCTAAGTCAAACTGCCATAGTCTGCGGCATTTCCCTCTTCATTCAGTTATATCTCACTCCGCTACAAGGACAAACTACACCGCAAAACAAGCATTTCCCTGCAAATCTTCAATACACCGACTGCTACGTTGCAGGATGTTCGTCAGCTACCAACTGACATGCGACCGATGAACTGTTTCGTGTGTCTGACTGACGATATTGCATGCAGTGTGTCTCACATGATCGAGATTACATGTATTTGTCCAGTTGCTTAAAAGAACCAACACGCTTTGCTATCCAGTTGTACTATTTAATCAAAACAACAACCTGTACCGTGCCCCACATAGTCGACAAATACACTAGTTACTTTGTATTCGTTGTCTGGTAATGCATTTTATCCAGGTGTTGTATTTTTTGTTCGGAGTTGTGCGAACGTTTCATCACATGTCCACGTGACTTCGTCTTTGCTTCACTACGTAGTGGGCAATCTCACTGTATGGATCGGAGACCCTTAATTGATGAGTGAGTCATATGCTCGTCGAATGATGATTAAAACCTTTGAAGCACAAGTGCCCAGCTTTAAGAACAAGGCAAAACCTAAACAACAAAACCGGGCTACGGGATTTAAAGAATTGAATAAGTAATTTCGTTGTGTAATTTGTCCATTTCACCGATCTAACTGATTCAGAAAGATAGATTTATATACATTACTATAAAGCAAACAACAGATGATGGCTTGTAGCAATAGGCTAGAAATATATTGAAGACACTGTTCATTGACAACTTGTCGACTAATTAGGTCTTAAATAATTTGTGGATAGGCTCAATATTTTTGCAACATTTACAGTGTTCGTTATTGTAATGGCAATAATACTACGGTACGGCGTTAAAGGACTCACCTGCAAATGTATCATTTAAAGCAAGAGCAATTATTCCGAGGCTAAAGCTACCGCATATGGTAAAAGCAAATGATATCTGCAGAAATATTCCTTTTTGCATATTGTAGATAAACAGGGCTGGCCCGTCCTACATACAAATTGGCTTGATACTTCTGTAGGACTAAGAAAATTTGAATATTATTGCTGGCAACCGAATGATTATTGCTAAGAGCAAGTCAAATCTTCTGTGCGCTGAATTACCCTTTCCTCCGCTTGCGACATGCAACCACGTTCCTTTGAAATGACCAGAAACCTATTTTGACCTTGGCTTGTCCTTGAGCTGCACAATCAAATCTCATCATTATGCTTCCGGGTAACTGGACGGTGGGCAGACAGCGTAAACTAAAACAAAGGGGTCACGCAGCAAAATCAGCGCTATGCTTAACTGCGTAGGCTTCAACTCATACCGAGACACATGAATTCACTTGATACCCACTTTGCCTGGTAATGCCGTCATGAGATTCACCAGAAGCATATTCTCTATGGGTACATCACGCAGAAGACCGGCAAATACGAAGTCGGTTGGTGGCTGTAGTCTAGCTGGACCAAGTAGTCGCAGAATAGAGCTGGTAATTCTGGGTCGATGGAATGGAATTTGGTTGATGCGCGTTGAGGCATAAGTAAACTTCCACTACAAGGCATGGCACGGAGTGATTTGAAAGGCGTTGAAATGTTTTCGCCAAGAACCCTCAGATATCATTCAAAACTCTTACGAGTAGGGAGAGAGGACGCGAAACGGGATTTTCCGCGAGCCGTGGAGACTGTACATAGAAAACAAGCAGGGCCACAGCTTCAGTTTTACGTCTGCCGTCCAGCGGCCAATGAATGGCAAGTTGAATTTACGGGAAATTTTTTCTTTATATGCACCCACACACAAAACAATGAGTGAAGTACTGGCTCTGGTTGAGTTTCCAGCTTGCGAAAAACGTAGGCTTACATGAAAAATAAAATCAGTGTTGACTTAACCGCTTCTACTTCGCGTAGACGCATGACCAGATGGGGTATGGAGTTGAGGAAGAAACCTCTCGATAAACTTCTTCGCATGGAAACGTCCTAGGCAGACAGCTGCAGAGACAATTGTTTTACTTCGCTTTAACTTTCTTAAGTTACTTTTCCCTTTGCCTTAAATTTATTCGACCTTGTTCCTGGTTACTTTAAATATAAGCTCTTATTCTCTCACCGACGTCAATCACGAATTCATAGACTAAGTTCATGATGTTATCGCAGTGCCATTCCTTTTTATATCTATGCCGAAAGTCGCTTAAGTATCTGTGTGCATTTCTAATCACCCAGTTTAAATATTTTGCACCTGACCGTAATTGTTCGCCCATGCCTTCGTCATCTTGTCTAGTATTGCACAAAATAAACCTTTATTCATTTACTTATTTATTTAATTACTCCTCTTACCACTGCGTCAACTCTTCTGAGCAAACCATAAATCCACTTAAAATTAAAGGCTGAAAGGAGAACAAAGTAGCCCATTTGCTCACAAAACATCTCCGTACCATACAATACAATGTTTGGATCAAGCCAAATCGATATGTGCATCTAACAATGTCCAGCACTTCACTCTACCTTAAATTGCTCCTATGTGTTTATTCACTTAAATTTACCTGGCTAATAAATCTGAAGCGATGAAAATGCGTACGCAGCCGCACTGATACAAGCACCCTAGCTCTCAGTTCTTTTGTAAATGGTTAGAACCATAGCAAGCACAGATAACTTGACCTGTCTTATGAATAAATATGTGCCGCTCGTCTGATCTTGGTTAATGGTTCCATTTGCTTCATACACTTTAATGTACTCATTCTATGAAATCGCCAGCTTCAAGGTACCACAAAGATGAACCGGAGAAACGGAGGATCCTAGAGTCAGAATGGGAAATAAAAGTGAAACCCAGAAAAATATTTCCAAATGTACCTATTGTATCCCTGTACAATCCCAAAACTTTGACTACCCTGCACGAGTAAATATTTTCACATGTGCATACGACCCTTACCTTTGTAGACACAATTTAGCACTACCACGAGAAAGCTGCATTATTCCTTATCTTGTCTATCTGAAAAAATGTTAACTTGTCAATAACTAATGCAGTGGTTACATCTTTTGTTGCACCGCCTTTCATTGCTAGCCTGGGACGGAGGATAAATAGTAAACTATGTACGCCGCAACAAATTTTAAAGTAAAGCAACAAAGTCTACTTCCAAATGACTTGGAGACATAGTCATGGTACATCACCTTTAGGTGACGGTTCTCCGTGCAAGTACGATCCAAAGAGAGGTCGCAATGCAAATTACTAGTTGGAGGGATATTAAGCAATCTGTTCCTGGAAGTGGCTTTCGGTTATGTTTGTTAATGAACACCAAGGTATTCGATTGTTTCCGCACATAAAATTGTCATCTCTTATCCGGCTCCAACCTTAGATGGATTCATCAAGTAAAGATAGTTGAAGCTGAGAGCGGAAGTCGGAAGCTGATGTTTAATTGCTGATGCACTGAGCCCTAGGCTTCTGCGATTCTTGAGCATGGTTATACGCAGGGTTTAGAAATGAAAATTTGAATTTTGGTTCGCTCATTTGGTAACTTGTTTTCTACGTACAGTCTCTATTAGGTCGTTGTATTATTCGCGGTTATTTTGAAGATAGTGTAGCGTGTCTAGCGGAGAAATTTCGGCATTGTTTCCTCGCAGCACTCCAAACCTCAATTTTAATAACGCCTGTCGATTTGCAACCATTTTGTTAGTTGGATATGGTGCCGTAATATTTTGTATGTTTAATCACTTTGTTACAGTATGTTGTTATCTTAGTAAGATAGGTAAAACCAGAACTTTATTATTGTTTAACTTAAGCTATCATGTGCTTAAAAATGCTAGTGTATAACCCATACATACCCAAGGGTATACCTTTAATTATTTAGCAACCGAACCGCCCGACGACACATGCAGACAGTTCGTTTGCACTAGTGGTACCATATAGATTTTAGTCAGTGTTGCAAATATGTAGTTAGAAACTTGTCAGTTATATGGTTATTGCAGTCGGTATGTCAGAATAGTAAACAAGTTAATCTCGCTTCCTCTCTAACTATTGTGTCCGTTTCACTGAACCATTGCGCGTAACATACACACATTTCAAAGCGAATGTTTTATCTTGTGCATGCCTTTTATTTTTTAACATTTAAAGCATATGTATATTGCTCGTACTGCTTTAAACAACTTCCCCTATATCTAGTCTGCTCAACTGGTATAGCAAGACAGGACTTGATTTAACCGGCGCAATGCGTCTCTCGTGCTGGTCGGATATTCCGACAATGCATCATCCATTCTTAGTAACCTTCGTGTCACAAAACCGATACAGACAATTAGAGACGCACTATTTTAGGCTGATTCAAACAGAAGTTGGGCCGAATATGAGCACTTAAAGTTTACCATCATATCCGAGTATCTTGGTATTATTACAGTTAAAAAGCGACGTGGAAAGAATTAAATTTTACCTTGAGCTACAGCGGTTGTATTCAACAGCTAACTTTTCCTGTTCACGTCTGATTTTTCGCATTTGTACTAGTTATATATATGTAGATACTTTGGCTTGAGCCTAGTTATAGTGAAGTTATTAGCGTCATACAATCATAAAGATAAGCTTGAATGTCCCCATATTCTTTATTGTCCCGATTTTTGGTTTTGCTTCTTACAAGTGAAAATTACCTATCACGCAAGAAAAATGCTACCACTATTTTTGAGACACATCTGCCTCATCTAAAGGATACTACCAGCTTTTATTCTAAAATAAGTACAACATATTTAAAGCACAAATATACTTAAGCCGTCAGCCATCGTTAAATTTACGATTAGTTTTTACTATTTTTGTAGAAGTGTTAACAAATCTGTCGGGGCTCTTCAGGCGTTGAGACTAATGTAAAGATACATCTGAGTTAAAAGTGCCGTAAAAGACCAGTTGGTTTGTAAAGTGTTTCAGTAACGTCTTTCTTGGCTATTGCTACTTACATTTGAAACGGTGCGACATGTTTTAGTTTATCTTTTGTGGGTGTCCTATTACCTAATCATAGCATATAATAGCCGCACCTGCATCATATGTAATGCCCTATCGAGTTTCCATTAGCAATGTCTGGAAGCACTGGGAGAATAAGAAGTTCACTACTTAAGTTGAATGAAAAACCACAAGGTGCCATGAAACGCACGGATGCCATTAAAATTCATCCATCCGTTACTGTAGTAAAAATGAGGCGTCAAACAAAAATTGCAAGTATGAGTAAGCCATCTAGTATTAAAGGAGAAGCTAACCTCAAATGCAGCCAGGTTGGCTTCTCTGACCTTGTTCACAGCGCTAATAGAAATCTGCAAGCCATCCTTGTCGAACTGGGTTAGCTAAAACATCAACTGTTAACCATTTATGGTCCCCCCCCTGGTCCTAGATAAAACTGGGTCTTTAGTTAATCTTCTACAAATATCAACCAGTCCAGCGATAAACCACGTAATTCCTGATTGGGCGTTTTATGATACGATAACCACAAAACGTTTCAATTTGCTAGGGTGCTGAAAATTACAGTACTCCATATTCCCTACAAATTTACCGTTACTTTCTTGCGGATTATTTTGGTTACAGCTGGTGGTATGTTTGATATACCGTGTATTTGAACGAGGCTAAGAAGGTCCAACACCGCTCTTGCTCTATTTTGTTTCAGTTCACGGGTGCTCTGACTGCAACCGAGTTTATTGGTAAACGTGATCAAATTTCTGACAAAACGACATTTAATTTCCTGAAAATTGTGACAGATAGATCGTAACTGCAAATGGAACTATGACAATGACAGAAAAATTCTCGTCTACATCGTGTAATTCCACACAACAGCACTCTCGGTTGTGGGTCATCCACTACCACTACGTTGCTAGAAACCAGTCATGGGCTCGATGACAATTTAAAACTGACCGTGAGAATGTCAGATTACATCCATTGTAACCACTCACTTAGCTTTACCTAGCATAGTAACTAATCCTGAGATTTCACCAACAGCCGGTGAACTAAAAGTTTTGAGGTGGAAAGATGCCGGGAACTCATGCAACGAAATCTCCGACAGTTGACAAAAATAGTAACAATTGTTTGTCCAGTTGGGACCTAGATGTAAATAACACTAACTCTTGAGTAGGGGATTTTAGTGTAATTAAGTGAGGTTCATCACAG